GGAGTTGTTTGTTTTATCAAGAGTTTAACTGCACTTGCAACACAATAAGGTCATACAAGGGCCGAAGATTAGAGGCGTCACAAGTAACAAACCAACAAAAAAAGAAGGAAGGGAGATAAAGACGGTAGATGTTTGATAGGAAAGATGGAGGGGAGATAAAGACGGTAGATGTTTGATAGGAAAGATGGAGGGGAGATAAAGACGGTAGATGTTTGATAGGAAAGATGGAGGGGAGATAAAGACGGTAGATGTTTGATAGGAAAGATGGAGGGGAGATAAAGACGGTAGATGTTTGATAGGAAAGATGGAGGGGAGATAAAGACGGTAGATGTTTGATAGGAAAGATGGAGGGGAGATAAAGACGGTAGATGTTTGATAGGAAAGATGGAAGGGAGATAAAGACGGTAGATGTTTGATAGGAAAGATGGAGCAAACCACACCAGAGCACTCACCAATAACCCACTGTAAGAATTTTACGGCACTTGTAACACAAAATGATCATGTGAGTGCCGATAATTAGAGGTGTTATTTAGATACAGATTAACAATTATAAAGTGAGGGATTTTTGTTTTGTTTTAGCAAGAGTTTTACAACACTTGCAGCACAATAATGAGGTTATTGGTTGTATAACTATCGAAGATTAGAAATGTTACAAGAGAGTATCAACAAGCACAAAAATAAAGACGCTGAGATAAAGACAATAGATGATTTATAGAAATGAAGGAGTAAACCACACCAGAGCACGAGTGTAGAACCACCTACAGAAAACATACCAAAAAATCATACTTGTAATTCTTAACTTAAACTTGAATAAGATTTTATTCTTAAAACTTAGAGTCGTCCTCCCTCTTTTCTAAAAAAAGAGGAAGTAAACGAATTAGAACAACCGGACCGCCCCGTTCTATTAAAAACGAAAATAACCCACACAACAACACAACAACGCAAACAAACTGACAAACGTGGAAAAAAAATTATCATCTTTTCACGAAGAAAAACCAAACCTAACAAACAACCAATAATAACAAGAAATGAAAAAAAAACCCCACTTTGTCCAGCATAATTATATACAGAGTGATAAACAAAGACAATGCAAACACAATATGCATGAATGGAGCTATTAATATTGTATGTTTACAAGCATAAGAGATAGAGGAAAAACGAGAGAACGAGAGAGAGAGCGAGAGAGAGAGAGAGAGAGAGAGAGAGAGAGAGAGAGAGAGAGAGAGAGAGGGAGAGAGAGAGAAAGAAACAAATATAAAAATTCATAACTACATTTCTGTTTTCCCAAGAAAAAACACAAGCTATAAAACAAAACCACCGCCTGTGCTCTGCGATAAGGCCACACACATATCCCAAGCCACTGGAAAGAGAAATCTGATATGTGAGAAAAGCAAAGAACAGCATCTCAAATAGATCTAATGCATAGCGCCCCCTCCCTCATCCTTCTCAGCATCTCAAATAGATCTAATGCATAGCGCCCCCTCCCTCACCCTTCCCTGTAATAAAAATGGACATGTCGGGTAAAACGAGATGCAGAATAATTCCAGACGGGTCCATTTTTCTGTTTCCAAACCTGGACGTGTATACAACGGCGATCAACTTAACAAGTCGGAAAGAAGCACAAGGTGGCAATGTTCTCTTTCTCTAATTTTACTCTCTCTCTCTCTCTCTCTCTCTCTCTCTCTCTCTCTCTCTCTCTCTCTCTCTCTCTCTCTCTCTCTCTCTCTCCCTCCAACTCTCTCTCCATTTTTCTCTCCCTATCCCTTACCTATCTCCCCTTTCCTCTACATTTCTCTCTTCCCTCCTCTCCTCTACATTTCTCTCTTCCCTCCTCTCTCACCTTCTGTCTCTTTCTCTCTCTCTCCCTCCCGCTCTCTTTCTCTCTCTCTCTCTCTCTCTCTCTGTGTGTCTCTCTCTCTGTCTGTCTCCCTCCCTCTCTGTCTCTGTCTGTCTCTCTCTCTCTGTCTCTCTCTCTTTTTTATATTTTTTCTCTCTCTGCACCACCCCCCCCCCCTATAAAAAAGCGAACCAGGCAATAAACATGCTCAGGGTGCACCAGTGGGAGGTACAACCCCAGAAGGCTATGGCTCATCAAATA